ATATATATATATATATATATATATATAGAGATAATAAATGTTGAGAATGAAAGTGTTTGGGCATATGTGATAAGAATAAATAGAAACGCATGCCCCAGACATAAATATTTATAAACGCAAGTGTAAAACAAAGCATCACTTAATTCTTCAAGAAATTCCCTTGTGAATTTCAAATTTCGATTCGAATTCAGACCAACCAACTAAGCATTCACAGTCAGCAAAAGCGGAACCAACCCTTTCTTATCTTATTATTAGCACACAAAATACGCACATACAATAAATAATAAATGTCTCAACGAGAATTTAACGAAACAATACTCGAAATAAACCTGGCTGAATTCCTCGTCTAATAAGCCAGATGAGAAATAAACGAGAATCGCTCAAAGAGTAACGAGAAACGATTAGACGCAATTGAAAAGAGAAATAATGCAAAGCTGCTGCCTCAAAGCATATCTCACCTTATGCAGTGATGTTATCATGTTTGAATCATCATCAACACGGTGCACTAATTTGCAGCAATCAACATGCAGCATGATTAACAACATTACATCAATCAAAAATGAAACTGACACGTGCCTATAATCTACACGAAATCTTGTTTTTGTGATTCTTCAAATAATTTGAAGCGATCTACAACTATTCTAACCGATCCGTGCATTTCACGTTGAATTTGTTCGTCACTCAGCTTTAAATTGGTATTGCTTATTGGGAATATGATGTGCTTACTGAGAACAACTCACTTCGGTTGGAGGTCATTCAGACATACTTTCGTTTTTGCATGAAGACGAGAAACGATCGACGACAAGGGAACAGAATGATCACCAGAAACAATCACAAGTTATTTGGCACTTTTTCGTCCACACTTATAGATCACAATGTAATAATAATGAATAAAAGTGTGAATATGCATTAAAAACTGATAATAGACAAACAAATCTCAGAAAATAACAACGAATAAAATGAATATACCAATCAAGGTTTCGCACGGTCTTGTTCCGATCATTAGAGAAAGTCGCAAAAACAAATAAGAACACAATATAATTTTATTCATTTATTCATACCAAACTGGCAGTTCAATTTTCCATACACAAAATCTATTCAATAAAATATCTATAAATCATTTGCTAAGTTCACTAAATATTCACAAATTATATTAAACAATTATTTCCGAACTTGAAATAATCGTGACATCTCAATTAACAATAACAACAACAATAACAACATAATAAAACACGAAAAATACTAATAATAATAATCATAAATGAACGATAAAACAATTAACATTAACAACTACATCTCATAATCAATACGAATTAATAACTTGTCAACAACTTAGCATATCAACTGCAAACTGAACAATTGAATTTACTTTTCAAAATTCAAAAATTACTGAATTTATTATTCACTTTATTGAAACGCAACAATTCTTGGAAGGATCATAACTCATTTCGTTTAAGCTTTCAGTGGCCCAAATTAACTGTTTGTAGTGATAAAATGCAATAAGAACAATGATAACAATAATATTAATAATAATAACGATTCCAGAATCGACTATTCAGCCTCTATTCGTCTTCACTTGAATCAGTAATAACGATTTAATTATCTCAGTTGAATTCAAATTTCAGATTCATTTGATTTCGATTCTTCCTCACAATATCTTCATCCTTATCATTCCTCCATTTATCAGCCACCTGATACTTCTTAATGAGCACACGGATATGCGAGTATGCATTTATTATTAAAGCACACACAGTCAGAGACATATTCTACTCGCCTAACAATAATTACAATAATAATCATAATAACAACAGAGCACTGTTATTATTATTATTAACCGATTATAAGGCCAACACCGAATTTACCCTGTGCTTTCACATGATTTAACAAACCAGAAATGGCCAATGTGAACGGTAAATTTTGACTAATTTTCTTCTCAAAAACACCGCCCACGGTCCAATTCGTATCGATCGACGCACGTACGGTTACGCCTTCATCCGGCAACTCTGCCTGTAAAGATGAATCCAATAGAAATAATAACAGTAATAATAATAATAATGACAATAATAATACCACTGACAATAATAACAATAACGAACCTGATATGCAAAAGTGGTCAACGCCTCTTGAACACGGAAATTGCTCTCGAACTCCACCCCGAACGATAAGTTCTCCACCTGTTTATGATAATAACACAAATGCAATCCAGAACTACCAATCGTTCCAGAAGCCGTGAAATTACTACCGTTATATCTAAATAAATACTTGCATATTACATCCTCTTCTGCATCAATAGACTACTTTAATAATCATCAGTACTAGTGGTCAACAACCTACCTCGCTGCGTAGCTGAGTACCGAAATCTGAGAGCCTGGTATCTGTTTGCCATACTGATACACCAACTCGGCACCGATATCCAACTTCGGCGTGAAACGTCTCAATAACTGAGTTACCACTATACCACTATCGTTTATTATGTCTGTATTCGCCAGTGTCACACCAAGTGTTGATAATCGACCACGATAATCCAGTGTTCCTTGTACTGCACTCAGTTTGTTGCCTGTCGTACAATTAATCTTTTAAATTACAATAATTACTATCATTTTCAACATTATTGTTATAAATGTATCAATATTAATGCTGCATCAAGAACGAATCACCTTGCACTTGGCTTTGAAGTTTAAGTCTCCAGGAATCACCGAACTGATGTATGAAAGTGGCTGATGTGTTACCAGCAGCGTCAGTATCGCCCAATAACACCGGAAATGCTTCTCCGGGACCTGTTTGTTTATTACCAACGAACGTCGCACCAAACCGATAGCCAGTGTTTGCTGGTGATATACTCAACGTATGCGCTATCTAAACGTTTTTGCTTTCAGTTCTCGTGATTAATACAAACAGCTATGTTAGCAATACCAACACAAATAACAATAATAATAACCTGGAAATGTGATGAAAGTCCCTTTTGCACCATTACTTTAGCACCTTCAAAGCACATCGGAAATACATCTCTACATTTACGATGTAATTCTTCGTAAGAACCAGGATTATTAGTATTGTTGGTCATTGTTGTCGCAAAAGATTGACCTTTATCATCCATACTTTCCACTGAAGTTCCCGTTGTTGCAGCATTCGCGTTATCAATGCCAGATGATCCACCTTCTGATGCCATTTCTTACCTTAACTTTGAATTGTTATTAGTCTCATTTTTGAGTGTATTTTGATTGTCCTTCGCTTACTTCAAACTTCAATATCAGACTAACTTCATACACTATAAATGGGCACATTTTAGCTTCATATGCTCAAATAAGGCAACAGTTTAAGATAGCGCTTACAATGAGCTAAGGTAGAGCCGGTCGTACCGCTACAGCCATATGAGATGCAGAGATTGTCTCACGCTAACACTCTCGCAAATAAAGAACAGACAAAAAAGACTTAACTTGAAACATTACAAAGAACAAGCAATTAACAACGCAGTTCTTATGGGGAATAAAACGATAATAGAATTCAAAAAAAAAAGTAATATACATCGATCGATCTGCACTAATCATCAGCCTAAACTCAAGCCTAACACCAACAAAGCGTGATGAATGCATGGCTGATGAGTATAACAATCGGGCTCCACATTACCTATATTATCATTATCCACATTATCTGGCACAAGCGACCTGACACGGTAAAACAACGCATCTTCGTTAACATTTATCTCAACCACTACCTAAACTTGTCTGTTTGCTTTTTTAACATAGAAAACCAATGAAAAGCACGATTGGCACGGTTCGGCAGTGTTCCAAAAATTGTAGTCATCATAACGATACACCATGTTTCAACGCTACCCGCATACAATCTAACCCGTTCTGCTTCAAACGTAGGCTTAAGCTCAATCTAAGGCTCACAGTCCGGTTCAGACTCATATTCGAAATTCAGGTTAAGGACGGCTTGATTTGCACCGAGTGAATTGCAGCANTGCAGCAGCCCTTTCGTTTCACTTCACTAGCACAAGAAAACGATTAGTGATTGCAATGTGGCGGTTTGTCTAAAAAGCACTTTCGTACGTGCGCATCGCCAAGCATTTTATGGTGAGAGAACGAGAGGAAAGTGGTTCTTAGTAGTGACTGGATCCGACCGACAGTCTGCCGGGAAAATCCGATAATTTCAGTCGGAATTCCGGTCCGACGATCGGATTCCGATCGGGCGACTTGGAAAGTCGGTCGGAATTCCGACTGTCGGAATGACGAAATGCCAACTCGGTCGGATTGCGAGCTCGAATCCCATCACCAGTTTGTAGATGTGCACAAAATGAACTGAGCGTAGGCAGGGAAACCTTCGCGACCGACTCCAAATAGCGGTGACGAAGAAGACTGGAATTTTTGCAAAGTGAAACTTTGAAAATTGGAGTAGTTTTCGGCCCCCTTACATCTCGATAATAACCATGTTGAGCATATTGCCGTATGCCCCTTCCTCCTCACTGCAGCGTTTCAATCGCTCGCAACCCCGATGTTTTAAATAATGACAACTAGTGTTCGTCGGGGAGTGGGGGCTCCGGCGGGGAATGCAGGGAGCGCTCCCCCCGCGCAATTTGCTCCCCGACTTTTTCGTAGGGTCCCCCCCCCGTCCAATTTACTCCCCGCGGGGACCCCCCTCCTGGGCGAGCCGCTCCCGACCTTTTCTCGGGCACCCCCCGTCCACTTTCGTTCCCCGACAGGGAGGACGGGAAGCGCGAACCTTCGCGAATATCGCGAACATTTAACTGAAAATGGTGAAAGACCGTTGCAACACTTTCAATATTGTCTTTTTGTTTGTTTTGAAATGTGATTATAAGGTGCACTTGAAAGAAAACTACTTAAAAAAAGGAGAAAAATCCTTAAAAAATTGAAATTTTGTTGAAAAAATTGAGCTGAAATGCTCCCCGTCCTCCCCGTCGGGGAACACGGGGAGCGGTCATTCCCCAACGGGGTCCCCCCCGCGCAATTTGCTCCCCGACTTCTTCGCGGGGACTCCCCGTCCAATTTACTCCCCGTGGGGACCCCCACCCGCGAAAATTGCTCCCCGACGTTTTCGCGGGGACCCCCCCCCGTCCATTTTTCTCCCCTCGGGGACCTCCCCCCCCCCGTGCGAAAAACTGCTCCCCGACGAACACTAATGACAACCCATTGTATTACACTTTCGAAAATCATTGTTGCTGAAAATTTCTCAGTTCGTAGAGAACTGAATTCTCTACCCGAAAAACTACTTGGCATTGACCATGCAAGGTTCCGTTGTGACACTTTTTCACTTCAATCGCTCGCAAAAGCACTAGTCGCCATAGCGACTGCTCGTTTGAAGGTACACTTTCAAGAAGCATTTCTCCAAAAATTTCTGTTTGTAGAGAATTGAATTCTCTTCCCAAAGCACTGTTTGGAATTGGCCGTGCACAGTTCTGATTTGGCATTGCATCGACTTCAACTGCTCGCACCAGCAATATCTGATCGCAGCTTCCGTGCCTGAATTTCCTTCACTTGTGAACTGAGCGAACTCTTGCTATGAAACTCTGTCTGCATGTGGAAAATTCACTTCCCTCCACAGTGAGATTTCATGCATAGGTGGCCAGGGGGGAGGGGAAGCCTTAGCGTAAATCTAAAGTAAAATCCAAGATTGAATCAGGCTAACAAAACTAAATAAGGTAGCTGAGTGATTTAAACATGGTCTTTATACACTGCACAATTAGCACATATCCGGCTTCTCAACCACTATCAAAATGTTAAGAATTTGTTGTGTTGTCCCACTAACGTTGACATTGAAATGTCAGGAAGATTATCATTCCCACATAACTAAGCTGTAAAGCTCATACGGGAATGAGGACAGTGACCTAGTTCGGCATTATTTGCTTAAAACAGACACGGAATCTGGGTCAGGCTTAAGCTCAGGCTTGTGTCTTCCCACCTTCCAAACTTACAGGTTGCCGGAATACCTCCTCTGCTTACCATCTACTATCACACCCGTACCAAGTCGACTATTCTCTAATCTGGGCGTGATTTGTTCGCCACTCAATGGCACTTATTCAAACGACATAATATTGTGCCCTAAAACCTTCGCAAATAAATGAAAGCAATATGCGAAAGTAATGAAAAAACGACAGCTAAATGAGCGCCTTTCGATGCTAATCAAATTAAGAAAGAACTAAACCTAACTCATCAAAGCATAACCCATAAAGTACAACAAAAGTGAACGAAAACGACCACCCAGTCACAATGACTGTAACTTTCGAGTAAGAAATGAACCTTCAACTTATCGATGTACAATTAAAACTTTGATTAACCAATTCATATTATCAGCCCCACAATGCATAACCGAAAAAATGAATGAAACGCATTCTAAAATGAATAAATAGATAATACTCACTAGCAGTTATAAAATGACAAACAATATTCACTGCTGGTTAAAAAAACCAAAATTATAACATTAATAAAAAACTTGCATATTCATTTATTTGTTTGATAGCAACTGACACTCATAATGATTGCTTTCAGATGTTGCCATATGCATACATATATGTGTAACGTAAACTGTCAGTTAATATCATAACAATAGCGACTCTCGCCAATAAATTGTTTCAAAATCATAAAAAATATGAAACAATTTCAACTTGAAAGGAGAATGAATCAAAACTGTATATATAAATAATGGAAAAGTAAACGTGCAATGGCCTGTCTCCATTCGTGTATAACATGAAAGAGACTGACAAAACAACTTATATTGTAACAAGTGAATGGAATATATCCACCGTAAAGTGAAACACTGATGGTTTAAGATTATGCCGAAATCATCACAAAAAACGGTCACGGACGAGTGTGCAATGTCAACTTTATCGTTTTCATTTTCATCGATTGAGTCACGGGGTTGTATGAGGCGTACATAATACGAAATTTCAATTATTTTACACTTAAATATTTTGAGAATAAGCAATTAGAAATAAATGAAATCAAATCGTTCTAAGACTGAAGATGACATATAGAAATTATGCTTCCAAAACGAGCACTCTATACACGCGCTCACTATTGATGAACACCAAATAGAGAATTGCAAAACAAGCGAATATAATAAATGAAAACAAAACACAATCGTAAATCATCATCAAGTCCGATTTGGGTGCTTGTTAAAATGATAGGCATGTGAACAAATGAATGCAGATCACCCAATATTCACACACGCCCTGATACCGTACTCCTCACGATTTCACACTTTAAGCACTCTCTGGTCATTCCGCAATTTCCACACGCGTAAATTTCACCACCTATGGAATCGAGTGCTTTGAAATTTCTGCTCTCAGCCAAAGACTTGCTTGTGGGCAATGTGGCGGATTCATCATGGATCATAGATAGTAACCTCTCAGTACTTAAAACTCATTTTTCGATTTCATAATAGTGATAAAACTAAACTACTTCACAGAAACGAATCAACTCATGTAAAATACCAAATTAACATTCTCTCAACAAACATTTAACAAAGTTCAACAATCATCACAAAACAATAAAATTTATATAACAGATGATCTTCTTGATAAATTCACATATATAAAGATAACTCAAGATAGATCATTAGACAAAAATTCATACGATTCCTTCTCTCATTCTACAAGAATGAAAGGAAAAAGGGGTTGTTGAAAAATGAAATGGTCAAACTGGATCAGTCTAGTAACTTCAGACTAACACCAATTCAGCCCTGGCTAATGTTTGGCCTCATCTTTAAGCTCACATTTACGCTACTTAATCTTTGGGCACTTTTTCATTGAACATAATTTCAACCCAATTTTCGGGAAACTAACAAAAGAACATCCATCCTCATTGAATATGTTACATCTTATATTTCTAAAATGCAAAATTGAAACAGATCAACGATATAAATAAAAGTAATATTAACACTAATAATAATACCAACAATAGCAACTAACCATTAAGTCATCAATTCAAATCGTTTTGTTGTTCTTATTCTATAAGTGAAAAGCTTTTCGTATCTTGCCACCTACCAACTTTTGAACTTAATACCGGCAGTTATAATCAACACTACTGCAAACGACACTGACATACGTACATTTATTATTATTATTGTTATCATTATTACAGTTTTTAAAACAATCAGTCCGTGACGACCAGATCGGATGAGATAGATGTATTCAGTGAGCACGATGAAACATTTGCGAGTGTGAATTGGCTACTGAAATAATTCAGCTATTATAACAAGAATAGTAAAAATATGAATTAAACAAATTCGTATGAAAGTTATTATTTTAACATCATCATACGTAAGTGTATCAGAACTGTGCCAATCCGATCCGCTTCAGTGATATGCAATAAAATAAATAATAAACAATTAAAAACTGGCAAAAAACACTAACATATATCAATAATATCTGTGTTTGAAGCTGTCGAAGATGGCTGTATATTATAATTATTCAACTGATGATGTACAAGTTCGTTTGAAATATGCATCATATTATACGCAGCACCACTTGATGAAACAACACCATTCAACACTGATTCACTTGATATTTCCATTTGATTATTATTGTCATTTGTATTTGCATTTGGATGAGTATTATTATTGTTATTATTATTGCTAGTAGTAGTAGCATTATTATCAGCCACATTCATATCTAAATATTAAAATAATAAACATTGATGTTTATAGAATATCGGAAAATCGAAAAAAAGAATAAAATCGAACTAGCATGTTGGAGAATAGCGTCCGAAGGTGATTCATTACTGAAGCCAGCAGGTATCAGAACGGCACTCCCATTATAACGGAACAAAGGATTCTTCAAATCAACTGTATTGCTCACTCTTACATCGCCGATTTCAGCGCTTACTTCAACATCATAACTTTGTCTGAATTTCATCCATTATTCTTATTACTTTTATCAATATTAGCACAATTTCGTGGAACAACATTAAAAATAAACAACCTCTCATTTGCAATCATATTAACAGTTCCTTTAACGGTTTGCCCCACAAAAACCATCACAGGTTTATCAAAAAGGCATCTCACTTGATACCAGTGTGTTAACGGTTCAGTTGGTGCAGTTGACAACCAAATTGTTGCACTGCAATACAGCAATAATAATAATAATAAATAATAATGCTAATGACAATCGATAATAACCAAAACTAACACTCCACCAATGAATGCCACATCAAACCAAAACGCCAAACCATGTACAAAACCGTTTTTGTTAGCACTTAATTCGAACGGAATGTGTATATTGTGTAATTCATTTTCATCGTCAGTCTCAAAATTCACCGACCACTTTGTACTGCCAGACATCAGTGTGTTCACATGCCATGTATCCTTAAATTAGTCAATACCGTATGCATATACTTCCAAGCAGTCAGGTGCATTCAGAAGAAAATTTCAACGTTCCAACCCCGACCTCTCTAGTTCGACTGCAGCTGAAATGTACTTCACCCCGAAAGCATTAATTCAAATCAATAAGAATAAAAGCAACCACAATCGGTTGTTTGAATATTTCGACGAGTGCTTGTGCACGTAAACCGGTGAGATTAATTCCATGGAAGTTCTCTTGACACCAGAAATTTGCTTTTGTACTTTGTTCAATGAACAGCGCTTCATCACTGAACAGTGCCACGTGTAGTTCGCCGAGCGTCGGGAACATTCGACCTTAAACACTTCCACGTACATTTCACTGCCTTCAGAACGCACAATCAATTGCGGAGCACATTCGGCAAATCGATTGAGTTCAACGCCTACTTCATGAGTTGCGAAAAATGTTCAAAAGACAAACAACGAAAACACACTGTGACTACTGTCGTTATTATTTATCGAATGAACGCACTCAAATAAGTTTCAATAAATAACAATTACCTCCATTTTTAAGGAATTTTCTTGAATGAATGTATGACTCGAGCATCCTCTCGTTGACAAGCATATAACCCATCGGTTCACTTATGATAATATCTACTTTTTCAGGGATCATGATTTCTTCTACTCGACCTGGCACCACCACTATTTTGTCCGTTAAATTGTTACTTCGCACCAATTCCTATTCGAACAAATTTCATCATTAGCACCCACTCATTCTTCTCCAAATTATATACTTATATGATATTATCACTGGTCTTACTGACAATAATACAACGTTCAATGAACAGATTTGTCGCCATCAAACAATTCGTTTGTTGGTTATTAACTTCTTCAACTGAAACAGCCAAGCGACAAGTATCAAAACTTACTGCACACTGGATTGCCACTGAACTCGCCTCGACCGCATACACCTTCCGCGCACCTGCTTGAACCGCAAAGAACGACAGTATACCACTGCCAGCTCCCACATCCATCACTACCTTTCAATAATATCAACGTATTACATCACAACTAAACGATACCAACCAACCTTATCTTTGAAATCATTTGAATTCACATGAATCGCACGTTGATATGTTGATGTACGAATATAGTCCTGCATCATATTTTGTTGTTGTGACAAATAACTTCAAATTAAATTAACATTTATAAGTGTTACATTGAAAACGTTAATGGTGACAATAAAGGAAAATAACAAACCCATAAAATTGGAAATATTGTGACGCAGATGCATGTTCAGTTCTTGCATCAAATACTGACATGTCGTGATCGTTATTATTATTATTATTGATATTACTGTTATTATTACAAGATATAAATGCTGAACGTTCATCATTTGAATTCGGCTTTTGTGAGGCCATACGTAAATTAACATCATGCAGTAACTGCGACATCTCTGCAACGCTTGTTCATTATCTAATTACTACCACAATAAATACAAACAAAAGCCAACAATAAACTGAACAATACCTTTAACATCATCAAAATACACCAAAACACTCGGTTCCCGTTCGCATTTAATCAACTGTCCATCATGACGCACGTCAATCGCAATAATACGTTTATTTATAACGATGATACTCAACAAAGTATTGATAATGAACTTTTTCAACAGGGTTCTATCATTTTCTGAACAGCGTATTCAATGAGCTTTACTTGACAACTTAACCAACTGCACCTTGTGTGCTCCTTTCACATTCAGTTTCAAACAAATTCATCTCATCTGCTCATCGTCAAACAATACTTTTATCACTAACTTTATCGGCGAAACACATCTGAACATCTAACTGATAAACAAGAAAAAAAGCACCTCAAAATTAAACTGACCAGAGAGAAGCAACAAGTTATAATTGCTATTCGTATCATCCACACAAATCCCTATCTTCACATTTGAGTCAATTTGAAATTTGCCCAATTTAAGATTATTATTATCATTACTATCGCCACTATTCTGTTCATCACTGGATACTTTCAATAAACGACCACATCCGTACATACGAACAATTTTCATTGTTCACCGACTGATTCTTATTTATATTACCTGTATTATTTTACAAATAAATTATTCACTACTAATACAATGATGACAATAACTGCTGGCACGAAACAACTCAACTGTGCAAAATAAAATTTAAACAGGATCAATCCAATTTAATCACTTAATGTACGCTCTACGCATCAATTTTAATTCACAATTCATTGATAATATTACCACACAATTTGAAAATATTACAAAAAACCAAGTTCTCATGTAAATATCAAAATCTCTTCGGTTTGTATAAACCTTGCTTTTGCTCGCGTTAAAACGTTTGCAAACGATCAAACAAAACAAAACAGTACACAACTTTATAATCATTTTATTAATACCCTTTACTATTATCATTAATATTAATATTATTATTACCAATATTATTGACACTATTACCAACATCATGATCACTGTCAGTATCAATATTATTAAAACAAACCAACATTATCATTTCTTAGATAAAACACACTACGATAAGATGGTGAAACATCTAGATTACAACTGCATTTCACTCAACAATATCGTTTGCTTTTCGTGACAGAAAATCATGGATATGTGAAGTTTAAAGGTATAAACCAATAATGATAATAATATTAATAGCAATAATAATAGTAATATCAATAAAATATTACAAGAAATAAACATCACGTGGGGTTGAATAACAAATTAAAAAAATCCACATTTCCAATAAAAAATATTGCACATTAAAAATTTTCTTCATTAAATAAGTTTCGCCTTATTGCAAATAAATATATCACTGCTAACATCATGCATACAAAAATAAATAAATAAATTTATTTATATATAGATACAACTCAACTAATAACCTTCAAGCTTTGCATTTCTCATCATTAAATCAAAAATGTAATAATCGTCCTAAATAAGTATGCAAGATTGATGCTTATTATTATTAACATTATCACTACTAACATTGTTATTATTACCATTTATACGTGTTCCACTGAATAACGTACACGATTCTTTTGAATTATTGCACAAATATGTACTACAATCTTTCATTAGATGGCCATCATTATCATTGTTTTTGTCGTCATTACCATTACTGTAGTGAGAAGAAATCAGAGGATGTTCGCTCATGGTGATAGTTGATTCAATAAGCGAATTTTGATCACGAATGCATTCTTTTGATTGAATTAATGATGAACATATGATTAAACCATCATTATGATCAGCCTCGTGCGATACCTAAAGTTTTTTGACATGTCTCTTGCAAATATTTATTATTAGGATGATTGCTTAAAAAAGAATTCAGAACAATAAATATCACAGCTAGTCCAAAGGAATAATGCCAAAATATGCGTTCTTCTAACATTTTGCATGATATCCCATCTCTGACATAAACATACCCTCTGAAACTGTCAGATCACTCATACAAATGTGACTAAATAAAATACCCTTTGGTGACTCAAATCAACAATACTCTTTGATTGACTGAACCGATTCTTTAGTGATCGCGGTTGAAATACAATTACAGAATTTGTTTTGCGTCGTCTCTCTGAAATAACAACAACTAGTGTTCTACATAATATAAACAACTCCTTAGTGTAATATGTAAGATATTTTTGATCGTTGTGTAAATTAATGCAAATAACAAAGTACCCGTATCAGTTGTATTTGATGTTAATTGCGTATACGATAAAGATTTCTTCGACTTCAACGTACCCTCGCTATCCATCACTAACAATGAGGATGCTCTTTGGAAATCTGCAGAATATATCTGTTATTCATATGATTGCAATTAACCATCGATTAACTCATTCATTCCTTCCTCAGCAATTCAATTTTTGAATTAAATGAATAAATGAATGAAAACTGAATCAAATTACCATTTTCAAACGGTGTATTCATTTTAATCAAATACTGCTTTAATTGATCATGCAAATTATGATGTTGATTACGATTATGATACATTGTTTGTGTAGTTAAGGGCCAACTGAACTGGTGTTGTGTTAGGTCTCTTAACTGTTTATATATACTCAAGAAGGACGGTCGTTCTGATGGATCGATCTAAATTTTAATATTTACAATAACAATAATAATACCGATAACAATCACAATGATAATAACAATAACAGCAAGAGTAATAAATGAACAAACGAACCAAACAACACTCAAAAGCAATTTTGATCAACTCAAGAGGTGTACCAGGTTGACAATGCGAAATAAAACGGTCATAATCAAGACCGAAGTTATTTGTTCGATACAAGCCATTCTCTGGGTCTGCGTCCAATCGAGCCAACATCTGACACATTATTATACCGAACGAGAAGATATCTGCCTTGAATTAGTATCATCGAATCGATGCAATTCTTGTTGTGCACAAGGAAACAAAAAGAGATGTTAATTACGGAATATTACTGGTTTTGAATTAGAATATAGCGACATGATCAAAATGACTGAACAAATAACCTTCTCGTCGTAAAACTCTTCCTTCAGGCATTCTGGTGCCATCCAATACGGTGTGCCAACCTGGGTGAGGCATTCGCCATTCGTTGGTATCGTACACGATAAACCAAAATCAGCCACTACAGCCTTTATACCATCGCATTTCATCGATTGCAATAATACATTCTAATCAAATTTAAATTAAATCCATCAATTATCGCAGATATATTGGAAGTATCAGGAACGCGGAAGTAAAGTTGACGATATCAAGAAAATTATTTGGGTGGTTGGCGCATTGATCTTCTCTTTCTTTACAAATTATCTCGCACAATACTTTCAACGCACTAGCTTGATCATAAGGAAGAAGCGTTTGACACATCCATAAATTCTTCACAGAAAACTTTTAAGCAATGAAAAAAAACTTGTGCTTTCTTTTTAATGCATCGTTTGCAATTAACGATGGAGATGAGAAGAGGGGGCGGTGGTTCAGGCGTGACGTGAAATAACTATAAACAATAATGATAACAACGAACCATACTCGTTAAGTCACGATGCATAATATTTTTCGAGTGCACATAACTCATCCCACATGCTATTTGCTTCGCAAATTTCAACCTCAGATGCCACGGAAATAATCGTTTCTTATCACAAATGAAACGATTCAAACTGCCCACATCACAATAATCCACCAAAATATGAAGATTCCATAAGCTTGTCGAGCGCTCACGATCCATCTCGATTTCCACACAAACACCTCTTGAACATATTCAATACAACAACTATTCAAATTTAATTATCATTCATTTTATTATTAACACTGTTGCAACTAATAAATATAATAATAAAAACAATGATAAACAAAACTAATAACCGAAACGAAAGAAGATTGCCATGAGCGGTGAGTTGATTCAGCACGGCAATTTCCTTGAGAATATTCATCTTGGCACGTAAGCGACTCTCCTTTTTACGCTCTTTACCAACTTTGAGCACCATTACTTCATTTGTCTGACGATGACGTACCTTCAACGAATCAATCAACTGCTAAATAATTCCCTCCTCAAGAACACCAATAATTAAAGACTCTATCAACATATATTATATACAATTTGAAAGGGATCAGCATATAAAACGAAAAACAAAATCTCGATCAAATCATACCTTATAAACATCACCAAAAAAACCCTCCCCGAGATTTTCCAATATTTCGAAATCATCCTTCGCATATAAACGCTTTAATGCACGTTGTAGAAAGAGACACGACGTTGGTCCGGGTGCTTCATTTCTATTCATGTTTTCATCACCATCACCCATATCATTATCGTTATCATTCTCTTCATCATATAAATTTTTTGTCAACAAATTCAATTCATCAATTGAACCGACAACAATTGAATTTGTCGTCGCACTCGTACTTGGTTCAACTGCGTGTATGGTAAATTTCTTCCTCGTATGATAACTATAATAATATTAAATCAATGTTAACAATAACTAATTCTGTGACCGTTCCTTTACAAATACTTATCCATCTATAATCATTATTTCCTTCTCAAATCATATACTCATTGATTTATCAGTTAGTGTTCAAAATGAATTTCTTTCGAACTGAACTCATCAAATTCAAAAAATGATTAAAAATCTCAACAGCAACTGCTGACAAGTTTTAACTTAAGTACCAGTTAAGGGATTACAAATACCGAAAATGGCAATTTGCTCAACTCGCACGGTTAAAACAGCATCAGTAAACACATGTGCGAGTGTTTCAATTTACACCCTTTGTAAGCGTTAGTCTAAGCACAAATCAAAACGTTAGACTAAGTCTAAAATCGAGTCATATTCAAGCGGATACCTAGGCTGCAGTACCATATCCCTGTTTACTGCCCCATTACTACAAATATTGGTTATACAAGAAACGTCAACCTACCATAATAGAACATCGCTTCTATTCGACGCTACAACACTACTATTCGCATTCATTACTGACGTCATACTTCAACTGTATTTCAGTTTGAACAGCGAATCATATATGCATATACATGCACAACATCTATATCGAACAATGACTTCGTTCAATTATCATCACAGTGTTCTTCTTATGAAACTACTTTCTGCAATTTCACAACAATCATTTGAATGCAAATACTCATTATTATTCGATATTTGACGTTTCGCTTAAACATATCACGCTTCATATTATTACAATCACTACCCGTCAAGCGCAGAGTTTCGATCGGACTACAAAACCAAATTTAAATTAACACTGGTTATCTTTACGAGTGTCGACCGGATCTTCAAAATGCCTCCTCCCTACACCTCATTATTTCGATACTATAAAGAATGTACAGATAACAGTTGGCATGAATGATACACCTACAGACGATGTAGATAATTGAAACAAACGAAAGACTAGGTGTGCATGTTCTGAGAGGAAAAAAACTTAGCACATTCATACGTATATGCTTCAAATATACCATGTTTTCATGATTTTACAAAACAATATTTTATTGAAAATTACACACACTGAATACTATTTGTGCTGCGCAAGCAATAAATATTGTACGACAACAGTAATAAGAATTATGATAATATTAAGAATACTAATAATAAAAGATAAATTGCATTGATGCAAACAACCATAAAATCTTAAAGAGGAACTAGGAAATCATAACGAAATTAAATTTTTATTAAAATCAAAACACTAATACGTCAAAAACGATAAGATACAACAAAAGATGAATGGTGATCATAATATCTAGTCTATTCACTGATGATAACGGTGATAGCAATCGGTATCACCAATGGTACATCGTCTTTTGGAAGTCCCAATAACGATGACATTTCACCAGCCAATTCAAAAATGAATAGATGAATACGAATCGAAATATCGTTTTTATCTAAAAATTATCCTCTTCATTCGCTGATAAAGAAGCAATGAAAAATAATGACAACTGAAACAATGATAACGATCTATTCACTTGATGATCCATTTAACTAGATCAGCTTTTTGTTTCAGGAAGAAAGAAATTACATGCCAATTACCTATTACATGAAATAATTACATTTGGATGATAAATTCGAAACAACTTACAGTGTTGTTAAAGACAGGCCCAGAATAATACAGATTATGCACTCGCCATACATTACGCACGAATTCGTTATAAACTGCGGATGGTGTCTTTTCTCGTCGTCCAATCCAAGCCTTTAGGTCACTTATTTTCACATCCAATAATCTGGTATCTGCTGTAAAAGTGACATGTTTAGTTAACTAGTTAGACGTATATTTACATGACAATTTTAAAACTTACGTTTACCATAGTAACGCCAGTGACAGTATGGTCCATGTACACGTTTATTCCAGCGTTTGTCATACAATCCTATATTAGTACGACTAATCACTCGATTATAGAAATAAACCCCAACACGTTCAAATGCACGCGAAATTGGTATGAATATTAGGTCTGGAACCCATGGAGTCAACTTCGTTCCTGGAGGCGGTGGACGGAACATGCTTTCTGAAAGTATTACAACTGCATCAGGCAAGCAGACAGCAGACCTTTCAGTTGTACTCGATCTACGCAATGCAATGAAACAATAACAATAACATTCACAGACTATCGCTTAAAGCTTGCTAACTGCATAAACCTAATCTTACATTCAAACACCGCATTCCCCATCGAACACAGAATACCATCACAAATTGTGTTACACAAACCATGTCCGCCACACAAACATTCGTCAACCAAAGTGCGAATATGAAGTATTCGTATCGATCGCATTAATGACGATTCATTCACGTACTCAGCACCGTACCTCAGACTATTAACGTTCTTGTCGTTATTACTCACAAAGCATAAGTTTAAACCAAAATTAACTTCTATTTGTATATTGTTTATTGCCGTGCATGTGTGTCGTGATTAGGAAACTATTAATTATGAGGAGATAGATCGCTTTTCGAAGATACCGCTTATAATTTGGGTTAGTAGAAACGTCGAATAAAAAAGAATACGGACGACCTAGGTGTTACTTATTTTGAAGATGAATGTTAATTGTTTCATTTGTGCATTTTAAAAGTAATATAATGAAAGACGATTATAGTTTTAGACATTTGCATGGCAAAAAGGTATTAACAACAAAATAAGAACGAAATAGATTATTGAAATTCAATAAATCACACCAGGCGGTTTGCCATTCAATCAACTGGCTAATGCAAGAAAGCCATATGAACGCATCAATCATTCCAAATGCTAAAATACTGACTGAATAAGAACAAAATGGGCAAGTTGTTATCGAAGATATTTGGAAAGCGTGAGATGCGAATACTCATGTTAGGCTTGGATGCAGCTGGAAAAACGAGTTAATATTCATTACTCTTATTCATCTTTAGTTGTATTATTAAGAATCTCGTTTGTTTCATTAAGAATGTTAGTTCAAGGCATCATCAACGTTAACATGATTACTCACTCGAATTATTTGCAGCAATACTCTATAAACTTAAACTTGGTCAGTCTGTAACAACGATACCAACCGTAGGATTTAATGTCGAAACAGTCACCTATAAGAACGTGAAGTTTAATGTCTGGGTGAGTTTCATTGATTTTTTGATAAGTCATCTATGAATATTATTTTATCATTTATATATTATTATTATTATTAATCAACGAATGAAAAGACAGCTGGCAATAGAGACTGGAATCCTTGGCCTTGAAACATTAATGTTCAAGTGAAGGAGTTTCTGTTTTTTTTTGAGGATGTCGGTGGTCAGGACAAGATTCGTCCGTTATGGCGACATTACTATACAGGCACACAAGCGCTGATCTTTGTGGTGGACGCAGCAGATCGAGAACGTGTTGACGAAGCACGACAAGAACTGCATAGGATAATAAACGATCGAGAAATGCGAGATGCCATCATCCTTGTCTTCGCGAATAAACAAGACTTGTGTGACGCAATGAAACCACACGAAATTCAGGATAAATTAGGACTGACTCGAATACGTGATCGAAACTGGTATGTGCAGCCGTCGTGTGCTACCACTGGAGATGGTTTATATGAAGGTCTTACTTGGTTGTCATCTAACTGTAAACTATGATCACACTCTTCTTATATTCATCCTCTTCATTATTATTCGTGTTTTATTTCATTCATGCTTTCCTCCAATTTTATTCGATTCACTGCAGCTGCATTTGCAAAATGACCCATTGTTTTATTTTCTTCTTGTGTCATGATGATATCTCAAAGAACCATACATTTTTTAAAGAGTTCAATTTCAAGATATTCAAACACTGTAAGAACTAGACGCATTCGTCTAGTACATTCATTTCACAACATTTGATTATCGTTCTTCAAGCACTGATGGGCAGCCTCCGCGTGCCTCACCAAAATTTAAAAAATTATTGGATAATCAATTATGTTAGGACCAAATATCCGCCAACTAGGTAAAAGACGATAACAATCCAAGCAAATCTAAAACTCGAATGATTCGCAGCGCTTAATAATGAGCATTTTATTGAAATGCCACAAATGTTATATGATTTGTGATGTGTGCACACAAGGAATTTCCCATTGATCACGTAGGAAATGAACACCTCATCAACGAAAGTTGTTCATGAAGTGTGTTTTGTTTATAATAAATTGTAATATTGTCATTATATTTATTTGTTTAAAAATGAATAATTATTTGCAATTTTTCGTTCATCATTACCAACACTTCTTCCATTTGATATTTATATATATATATTACGCATGAAACGTTTGTAGATGAGTCATTCTGATCGACTGTTTCTCAGGAAAGCGTAATGTCATCTTCACGATCGAAAAAAGACGTCTTCGTTACGGAAGTTTTGTAATTAATTCAAGCGAAATATGAATGCCATTAATATGAATGATACGAATAAATTGACCTCCGTGATTATATGATTAATGATAAAATATTGCTAAACAATAACTTTTTAATGCAACCTATCTACGTGAACTCACACTGGCTTCGTTCACTCTCTTCAATACTATAACAACACAAAATCCGTTGAAAACCATAGCTGTAGCCATGTCGTACCATATTACATCATCACATGTCTATACCCATAATCACATCAGCATAAATATGAACAACACTAAAAACAGTCGTCAACGCTCACCACCACTAACTCTTAACAAGTATGCAAAAAATCATGTTCAATGATTAAACGTAGATAGAATCGACTCAACTGAATGTAACAAGTAATTACAGAACAATTGAAAATTTATTGACAGCCGTTACTGCTGCACTGAACATATGAAGGTACCAAACAAAGATATCGACAACATGCGAATAGTCAGCAACTGAACGTTATTTATCAATCAGCCAATCACCAGCTAAGATAAATTAAAAATGACACTATACAACGACAAGAACACCTTATAATAAGTCAGTGTGCACATATAAATGTTTGTAAAATGAACCACCAGTATTAGGATAGAGATAGGAAACGAACAGAAGAACGATGAATAGTTGGCAACGTTAGGAATGAACAACCTAATATTGAAATAAAATAACGTGAGTGGTCAACAGCTAGAATGATACTGACGATTGATTTACGCGAAATGATTAAAGATCTTTAGGATCATTTCATTCAGAAATTAGCTGGTGCTGGAACTGGTGCAGGCTTACTCTTCATATTCGTTAGAAGCATCTTGATTTCACCGATTGCACGAGCTGGATTCAAATGCTGAATACAAACAGAATACTTACTAACCGTTGTAACAATCAGAATAATGAAGAGAGTATGACAATAATAGTTCTTACCTTGGGACAGGTCTTGGTGCAGTTCAAGATTGTATGGCACTTAAAAGCACTGAAACCATCCTGCATTTGCTGCAAACGTTCAGCAGCGTAATCATCACGCGAATCAATTATCCATCTGAATCACATCAGCACAAAATTACTTAATAATTGTAATAACAACTATAGTTATACTGTTAATAATGATCAAATCAAACCTCACCTATAAGCTTGCATCAAAACCGCCGGACCTAAATATTTATCTGCATTCCACCAATATGAAGGACAACTTGTACTGCAGCATGCGCACAATATACATTCATATAATCCATCCTGTAATAATATATTTATATACCATTCCGATCATTGGTTTGGTTCATTGCACTGAGCACACTATTAAATACCCACAAGTTTTTCTTGCTCCTTAATAGTTTGGTATTGCTGTTTTTCACCCAGAGTCATCTTGCTCTTCTTTTGCAACCACGGTTGAATTGATGCGTATTGAGCGTAGAATAAGTTCATGTCAGGTACAAGATCCTAAAAGACCGTAACAATTATAGGCATTACATTATATAAACTATCGCTTCTTTCATACCTTCACAATGAACATGTGAGGAAGAGGATAAATCTTTGTTGGTTTAGACGTGTCCTCATCAATGTTGCAAATACATGCCAAAGTATTTTGTCCAGATATATTCATTGCACATGAGCCACAAATTCCTTCAAAGTAAAGAAACAGTATTAAGAATAAAATGTTTCCTGAACATTATGAATAAATAGATCGTAGTAAAAAACAATCTGCAGAAGCCATGAGAATGAAAATAAGAAAAACAATTAATGAATACAACCTTCCCGACATGAACGACGAAAAGTGAGAGTTGGATCGACTTCGTTCTTAATTTTAATTAGAGCATCTAAAACCATCGAGCCACACTTGTCCAAATCCACATCGTATTTCTGCGTTCATGAAAACACTCAGCGCTTCGAATTTCACTTTGTTTCGCCGCAGAAATGAACCGTGTACAGAGAAAGGATAATGAACAAACAACTATATTGTGAAATATTACCTGGAGTCTAGGTTTTGCTCCCGGTTCTTCGGGATTGAAACGGTAAACTTCGAATGATTTTATACGTTTGCCAGTAGCAGCTTGCGCTGGAGCAGTTGATGCAAAACGAGTTGCTGTACTTATGGCCTTGAGACAAGTGGATGAGTTTCGAAGCATTGCTGCGCTCGACTTGTTTCAGAAATCGTCGATTCGGGTTACTGAAGAGATATTGAATTCACATTTTTCATGTCCAGATTATACCAAACGATATATCAGTTCACCGCTTTCATATTACACTAACAGATAAGAGCATTTTATAAATTTGGATTCAGTGAAACATCTTCTCGTAACGCAACACATCTTTTTAATAGTTTACGTCCATTTCTCGTACGAAACGTGCAACCAATATCACAAAAGAATCGTGAATAAAACACATCTATTGATAAGAACACGAATCTGCATTAACTCATTCTAGACATTAACACAGCAACACACACGTTGAGAGCAGCCACATAGCACACTAACGTTGATATTCATCACGACTAAAACATCTGATCAATTCAGCTCTGCTCTACACAAATATATGAAATATTCTTATAGATTGCACGTGCTAAGATACTGCGAACCACACTGAAAGAATTCTTAAAACGATGGGTGTACGGACACTTGGACAAGTACCAACCGAATGACAGTTGGCCAAGTGACGTTTTGGTCTCATATCTAGTAAGAAATGTCTATTTATTGCTCATCAAGCAATGATCAATGCGGGAATTCACATGCCACTTTGTAGCGCAGGTCCCGGAGAATAAACATTAGATGTAGAGAGCAGTAACGATCTTTTTGGGTTTCTCTTTATGGTTTAAAGTAGTGTTCGTCAGGGACTCCAACGGGGAACCCGGGGATTGCTTCTTCCCGCACAATTTGCTCCCCGACTTTTCTGCGGGATCCCATCCCTCCCCCCTCCTCTGTCCGAAAGACTGCTCCCCGAAGAACACTAGTTTCAAATACAAAAACTTGAAAAATAATTGAAACTGATGTTTACCCGATGAGAAAAATTCCTGACCAAGATGTACATCACCTTGTAGTTAGGATATATTAGTTTGCGATAAAGTAATAGACTTCGACCGGAAATGCCAAGGTACGAGAGTTATACTACTTGGCATGATCAGTAGTGATGTTCCATAGTCACAATTGGTATATGTTGGTGCAATTGAAATTCTCTCTGAGCCAAGAGAAATAATCAGTGAGGAAGATGTGTATCTTCATGTAACCTTTCGTCGACAAAACTTCCTCGGCTAACATACCATTCTCCCTTAGCATCTTTGATGATGTTTTCCTGAACTTTCCCTCCCCAAACCTTTCAGCCTTCATTTATACTGTATATACGGTGAAAGTGTGCCCTGTACGCTCTCGTGTGATTCAGATAAATGATTTACCAGCATTTTGCGCCTTGTAACGAGACTGGCATTCTCGCAGTCTACTTTTACCCTTTCCAGCAATTCATTCTCCATAATAACACGAGTCTGTACTAGTGCTCTGTCGACTTCTATTCCATCGTTTCATGCTCATCACACAACTACGTTACCTGTTTTCCATTCTGTAAATACCAGCATTGGCAATGATGTGACTGAAAAGTTTTCGCAGGTAATGAAAACGAAAAAGCTTCTGTGTCGGGACATCTTAGTCAACAAATCCCATGAAAATAATTTGATCGATTCGAGTGTTCAAACGTAACCAAAAGGATCTTTCAAGCTGTGCACTGACGATGTAAAGTTGCACTGATGTAAACATAACTAAATTTCCGGATTTCCAGTTCTAATGACAACAACGCCTCCGTTTATATTTGGCGAAGTGTCATCCTACCCAGTCAATCTCACTAAAAATCGCTCATCATAGACTCACCCTTGATTTTCTTCATCCAACTCTCAACTAGGTTCATGGTCTGATCGAGAGCAAGCTGAATCGACGTGTGTAATTTGAATAAATTGCCGCAGTTGTGGTATATTCTTAAATCAGGCGTAACAAACCAGTGACATATATCAAAACGATTCATGCTCATCATTCATATTTATCTCCTCTGGATGAACGCGTTTCGCGCATTTCTACTGCTTCCACATGAAATCAATATCACTGAGAATTTTACGTGATGAATTCAACTCGAATGGTGAATATATTACATCGATAAAAGATTGCATCGAGACGATCGAAACAAAAACTGATTTCAGATAAGCATTACTGCTCAATGAACTCAGCTCTGTATCGTATTAGTAATCGTTTTTCACAGTTATCTCTGACGAATGGTACGTTTGCCGCTTATGATTGCATGCTTAGAAACCATGATAAAAGGACGTGAACATCTCACCCTCGAATATATTGTTGCCGTGTTTCTTGATATTAGTGCATCCAACCTCGCGTATTTCAGCCAAGGGAATTGAGATAACAAAGGTCCAGGGACCAGCTATCCTTTACCTTAAGTCCTTTAAATTAGTCTCTTATTCAAGAGTGCCTTTTATTATTATTATGCTAATTACCAATTATACCTTGTGTCAATACTAGAACAAAGGTGGTTTATCACTTATTCAGGTGCCTCGTATGCGTCAATATTAGAACAGACTACTAAAAAATACATATCACCGATAAAATATTTAAATGTCACGTCATCAGTTGAAAGAATCGTGGACAGTCGACCCACAACAAGCGCTTTTTATTTACCGGGATGTGTAACAAATGCAAAGGTATATCGGTTGCGTAATGGAGATGAAGACGAGTTATACTTTTCTCTCATAAACGTCATTTTCAGAATTGAGAAACTTACATCAAACTGAGATCATTTATTGTAATTCAGATTGCTTAGTTAGTTCTTTTTTCAGATTTATACATTTCCAACTGCCTCTCAGAAAGTTATAACAGTTCCAGCTCCATCCCTTGCAGATCTTGGAAAGTTTGATCCGGTTACTGATAAGGTTACTGTCTTTTGCTTTATAATTTAATTAAACCTTCACGATTGAAAATGTCACTGCAGAACTTTATTCATGAATATAGTTCTCTAAATGATGTGTTGGCGATAATTGTAATGATATTCGGATTGTAAATTATCAGTTTTGATTATAGGCACCAGTTGAATCACCAGTAATTAGCACACATATCTACGCAGCGCCAAGACTACTGACAATTAGACGTAAGAAAATGAAGAAGCATAAACGAAGGAAACGATATGATCGAGATTTCTTTAAATATGCCAAATATCATCGTGAAAAGAAACTTAGGGTAGGTTTACTAACTCTGCATATCATTGAATGTTTAACGTTTAACATCACTCCAGATCAAGATTAATCCAATCTCTTTTCTTCATAGGCTGAAAAGGCATTCCGAGCACGAATGAATGAACTTCTAACAGAACTTAATTCGTTCAACGCCGAGAATTATGTGAAAGATGTTATCCACAGGTTAGTTACTATTACTATGCACATATAATCGTTACAAATGAACGATGAATTTAAATGTTATATTAAAGTGATCACCATGTAAAGACACTTGTGAAAAAACGTATTGTTCAAAACTGAAGGGCGAAACAAGAATGGACAAGTGAACTTGCACCATCCGGTCGTAAACTCTATCCACACTGGTCAACTTTGATGAAGATTGAAGAATTGTATGGCCTGGAGAAAAGTGATTATATCGACCGCAAAGCTGGTCTAGCCGATGATGAGGATAAGGAGCGCATCAAGCAACTCAAAAATGATTTTCGTAAACAATTCGTCCTGAATTCAGACGACGAACATAAATAAATTCTTTCAAATGCAATGCTTCATTGCAATTGTCGAATAAAGATTTATAGAAATTATTTTCATCCGCTTCCATCATTATTTATCGGTTTTGTGGTGCACATCTTTTGTTATAAACTTTACTTGTGTGCAGTTGAGGTGTTAATTTGTCTCAATGTGTTTCATCGATTCTCTAATTTTCGCTACAGTCATTTTTGACAGTTTGCATCATCGGCAATACTCTTAACATGGAGTGAATGTAAGGAATATCAACAACTTGCCGTCTCACTGACACCCGTACCTCTTGCACAGTTTAAGGGTGCACCCACGAAAATTTTACTTATGGCGCGTATATAATTCTGATTTTTTGCATGTGGCCGTTATGTGAGGCGTTCAGTTCCTATTTGGATACAACTTATACCCTGTTGGAATCCATTTGTTGTTTGGGTGGTGTCAGTTTAGTGACTTGCCATCTTGTCAGTTTAGGTGCCTCGTCATTTGTTACATCAGCGAGCGATAATTTATCGTTCGTAAAGTTGCATACAAACATCTCTGAACTGCAAAATAGCCGAATTCGTTTGTATTATCATCTCATTTACCTGCTCATTTTTGCAATCTTACAAGGAACAGCTAAAAAGTTAAGTGTGTGATGCAAACCCAACAGCATCTAACACATTTCACCATGCTCATTTCAAATCTGTTCGCTAAATTTGCTACAAGACACATCTAGAATCAGCAAAGCGTTACCTATCGCAGTATACATAGCTCGTCTCAAAGTTCCAACAAAATTTCACGACACTTTTAACGACATTGGTACACCACCCGGTTTCGAGCGAAACATTCCTCTGCGAACGGCAGTCAAACTCTGGACGTACTCATTACCGGTTGGAGCTCTGCCTCTGAGTAATTGCCGAGACAATTCAGCCTCCGCCAAGTGGTTGTGTTGAGATTCAAAATCGTTCCATTCCTCTCATAGAGTTCACCGATTCAGAAACTTCTACTGAAGAGTCATTGGTCGCCGCAAATCCCGAAGCAATTAATCACTCATCAACAGAAGTAATGCTCAAATGCAGTTCCGCTCGAACAATAATTAATGAATGCATGAAGCACATATATATGCAAATAATTGTTATACCTTATAATAACAGATTTAATAAACATGTATAATACGAGAATTCAACAGTCTGTCTCGAATGCACTTCATATCGAAACAGTTGTTTCAGTGTTAGCTTTTAGAGTTTCTTCTTGTTGCTGCTCTTTTTGTTGCAATAGTTTTTGCTCGCTGAGTGCTGCCTCTGCTTGTTCCAGCTCTAACTTGAGTCGTCTCACATACTGAAAAACATTTTCAATTACAATTACTCAACTTTATCAGCTAATACACTGCTGAACAAGTGAACAAATAAAGTTTCGTTTCACCTCCTCGGCATCAGCTTCATCTCGTTTCCGTTTGCATTCCAGTTTACATTTATCATATTCAGTCAATACTCTCAAATTTTTCGGTTTCATTATGTGTGGTCTGTGTTGATGTTGCTGTGCCTGATGGACGGTTGACTCGAATCCGTGACCACATTCAGATGAAAGATTCACTTCATCAAACTCATCTTGGCTGTTCAATTTCGGCAAAGAACACGCTTTCGACTTGCCAGTTTCCTTTAAACATCTCGCATCATCAACACAACTGCATATCTATCAAGCGTGGTGGTTTATGTCAACTGCAAGCAAGTTGGCTTAGAGATCCAAAAGTTCGTATTATTATTATTACTCAACACGTATGAAGACACTCAACCTCCTTGCGGAAAAGGTATATCTCTCTCATTTTGTACTAAAAATTTAACGCAACCCATTTAACGGTCTATGCGTTTGCACAGTTACTAGGGCATCTGACCGTATTTGTACGTTGTGCGTTCGAATCTCGCTCGCGATACAATCTTTTACTGGAAACCGAATGATGTATCCATATCACTAGCATCTGTGATGTTGTCGAGTTTGAGCTAGGTTACGACGATTCAGATTATATTTAACTGTTAAGTCACGAATGCATATGAATTAATTCATAGCATTTAACCAACCACATTACTAGTCGGCTGAGATGTTTCTTGTTGTTCATTATTTGATGACTCTTTCAGGTGCTGCTCTTTTGAGTATTTATCTTTTTTTACCTTCTTCTCAGCCGCATTCTTTTCGTGACCTTCTCTAAAACCGAATAAACACTTAATTCATCGATAAAATTCAATTCAAAAATTGTGCTTAATTACAAGCAAACAAATACTTACGAATTTCAAAATCTGAATCAATAAAGAAATCATGAATCACAAAGCATTCTCGCAAAGGATCCACGCATTCCCTTTGAAGGCAAACTTTGCACGCATCAGTGCATAATTACCTGCGAGTAAACATGGTCTTATCTGTTAGAGGTGATCGCATTGGAGATGTTAAATTGAATGAACCGAAGTAAATACAAATAAATAACTAAATGAAAAGTTAAAATAAACAAACAAACTTCTGAGAAGATTTCTTTTTGGCGTTGACATTTTCAACGCTTAACGATACAATTACAATAAGAGCAACAACTATGAAGAGCTTTTTGTGGTACATTATGAATCCAACTGTACCGTCACGTAAATCTTAGCACTTATTAATGAACACGCAATTGACACAACCTGAATTAAATTTCAAAACTGTGATTTAATAGAATACTCTTGACAGCATCATGCTGCAGCATTACCCAGCGAACTCATCCAGCTGTCGTGAAACAGTTCGCATAAACCAATGACGTAAGCAAACATACTAATTCCAAAAAATTTTCAGCCACGAAATCATTCTCCACTCCCTCCCCCCCCCCTTCCTCCCTCAAACATTTAACGATGATTGAGTGAATGAATCTGAATAGTAGCGGTGGAGGGCTTACGGCGTGGCAATGGACGGCCTAAACTCTACCCTGCTGATAAGATTTCAATTTGACCTAAACCTTTTCAAGTTCTTCTTCATCTTCAAAATACATGTATTTGTATTTTGAAGAAGAATAAGATGGAAACAACGAGCACAACAATAATATTGTAATGATAATCAAATTATATGTTAAAGGTAAATGAACAAAAACAAAAACATACAACCTTTATATACACACATATAAACATTTCTCTTACATTGATCGATGTTATCAGTCGTTACTGTTTTTGATGTGAATGTTAACCTTAACAGTACGTTCATATAGATACTATCACCATGATTATCATTCATTCCTGATCAGCCATTCTTTTTACTCCGTTCAAAAACGGGTTCATTCGAGTGCGTCATCGCAATTAATCATTCCATCACTGAATTACATAAATGAATACTTTTTGTAAACAGTATCATCATTCATTCATTTTTATTATTATCATTTTAGGTGTACCATTTAATTTGGATAGATTTCATGAAAATCTACAGTCGGATACTTTATGAGGACAATTCCTCGTATCAAATGACGAATGATGAATATAGTGATATCATTGACGATAGTAATAGCGTTTCGTTGATCGTATCGAGTTGTTTTTACTCTGATTGAATCTGAACAAACTGTTCAAGCTGATTAAACTAACATTAATGGAGCACCCGTCCGTTTCTGGTTCAGTCAGAACATTTTGAAAAGCTTTCCTTTGGGTCAACAACTCTTGTTCGAACACGCTCACTTCGAGCAACTTTCACTGGATAGTACCAGCTGAGAACTTGCGGCTTTTTAGGCTTAAGCTTTGCTTTATATCTCGACTAAAGCTAACGATTGCTCTCAAACTCTTCGATCCGTCGTTACGTGGTTGTCAACAGACATCTTTCACGAAGTCCGTCAAACGACTGTGAAGATTTTGTGGTTTGAGCGAATGCAGAGTATCCTAAACATTTATGCCACTGAACGCTTTATTAATATCAGCACTGAGATCTGATCAAATCTACATTCAACTCCTCATTATTGGTGATAATCACAATTATGACAATGATAATAATAACAATAATAATGGCGATAATAATGAATAAAGCATAAAAATAAAACGATGAATTCATAAGATAGCACAAATAGAACTGTGTGACGTATTCAATATTTTCATTTACGTCATCGAATAGAAATTCGTTTGTTGACTAATTGTGGAATATTCTTACGTAACGAACAACACAGCGAATATTATTTCTTTGACGTTATTCAAGAATTGATACATCAATGGTCGAAATTTTCGTTCGTGTTATTTAAAAAAAGATCATCAATCTACATTTCACATACACATCGAATGAATCCATATTTAATAATAGTTACGGTTATAATATATAATAGCGATAATAATAACAATAGTAATAGTAATGACAATAATAATAGTGGTTGCCATAATAAAGGAGCGAAAAGCACACAAATACAGACATACACGAACGCATACACAACACAATAAATTAATTATTTACATAAATGAGATCCATTTACACCTCCAGATTTAATTTAATTTGAATCAAAATGATACGAAAATTTTTTAAAAAACATTACAAATTAAGAATCATTTGGTGGTTCATAATTGAAAATAGAATCGTTCACATTCAGATATACACCATTGATAACATCTGCAGTTGACGCTTTCTTACATACGGCACTCTGAATATTTCTCTATTATTTTAATAACAATCATAATGATAATAATAATAAAGCAAATACCGGGCTATGTTGCTGTGCACCATCGATTCTATTCTTAAAGCAATGCAATCTTGCCTCACACTGACATGAATCCTCGCAGATTTGTCCTTCATGAAGCGAATGCTCAAAACATTTCGTTGAATATGTGTTGCTGTTGTTCTTGAATGAAACACGATGACAGCATAAACCTGTAGTATTTCAGTGGTGATAACATTAGAACGCTTTATGAAGCGAGTTTGATAAATTTGTATAAAGTGAACATCGCACTGATTTGTATGAAAACGAGTATGTCAAATGAGGAATGAACATTGCACTGATTCAGATTTCTGATATTATTAATACCACCGTTGTTGTTTGTGATGATGATTTCGAATAGAAAGGCTTTGTTCCGATGATACTCGTATTATTATTATTATTGCAATTTGAAATACTGCTGAATGAATGAACAAATAAAGAAATAAAACAATTCTACGAATCAATTCATTGAAAAAGCCACATTTCATTCAACAACGATCCATTCAGATTCTCTCACAAATAAAAAGTAATGTTCATCAGAGAGCAACTTTTTGGTCAGAGGGAGACTTCGTTGGGGAACAAAGCAGCCACGAGTGGGGACCACCACAAGAAGTCGACTAGCGAAAGGGTCCTCGCGAGGAGGAACTCGTTCGAAGGGAGGCGGCAGGACTCCGACAAAAAAATTGAGAGCAAAATTGTCGCAGAACTGCTACCCATCAGGGACTCGGTCCCATGACAAACACTGAAGACAGACATACAACGCTGCTAATACTTCAAGGAAACCAATCAACTACCTGGTTTACAGTCCTTATGACTCGAACAAATCCCACCCTGCTGACCACTTTTCGATTGATTTATTGATGAATGCAGTCTTCTGAACTGAAATATAGATCAACCTAACAGCCTAACACTTCTCAAGAAACGTACATTCGAATGTATGAACAGTAATAACAACAACCATACAAATAATAATAATAATACCTTCAAATTGGTTATTGCTGTTGTTACGACTGAAGTCGGCCGTGTTGTTGATGCAGTCAGTCTTGTACTGGTGACGTTTTGTGGTTTGAATCTCATCATACCCTTATTATCAGCTTTCTTGAAAACGTGTTCATTAAATGATTAGAACAGTGATTCTTATAGGCAGATGAATCCACGAGGTCGGCAAGCTTATGATATGATGAAAGGCCATTGTGATGGTGTTTTTTGAGTTGAGCAGCCAAAGGCAGTAGTTCACTCATAGCACTACCATCTTCTTTCTTTCTTCGTCTAACTCTGACCGCCAATCACTTACACCACCGTTGATTTCGCGAATCGCTTTTCGATTTTCTGTCGACTTAACGCCGTATACAGATACTAAATTATTCTATGCACTCATCATGGCCTGCCTGCCTGCCAGACCATAAAAAACTAATATGGAACGTCCCAGCTTGAGAACCACTGGATTAGAATTGAAAAGATCATAGTTTTACGAGCGGATGGTGTAGCATTCACTACATACGCGAGCGTCTATTTCTGTTTGAGCCTCATTCGCTCGAAGTTGACTCGGTTTGAGTTTTAGGATCAGACGCTTGTTCTTAGACCGATTTGAGTTTAGGGCCAGATGTTGGGTTCTGGTTTTGAGCTTGAACTGAAGTTCAGGCTTAGGCTTCCACTATACTTAAGCTTACAAAAGGACATTAGAATACACGAATCACGAAAATACCCTACTGCTATGGCTACTTCAAGTGAACGACAAGTTTACAAGTTATTCAATTAAGAGCATCTCATACAGCAGTAAATATACCATTGAAAACAATCCATTACAATGAGACCATTCACTTACCATTCCATTACCACATATATAAACATGAATAATATACACAAATAATATGTAAATCATAAAATTAAATCATGAATACAACAAAATGAAAAACCTCGATTCTGGATAGTGTTGTACCATTCAAATAAGCTACTTTAAAACCATTTTCAAGTTTTTTCAATCGTTTCATTATTGATTTCACACGTAAGGAAATCTCTTTACGCCATCGTGAATTATTATTATTATTGTTATTCTTATTGTTCAAATTTTTCGATCTTTTACGTCCACTTCTGGTCAAAATATTACTATTATCATTTATATAATGATCATCATCCCCATCGCTATCAATACTATCATCATTCAGTCCTCCTGAAAGTTATCATCAAAAATCTTATCTTATTATCGATACATATATCTTATCATTTAGCGTACAAAGAAACTATTGGTAAAGCAAAACTGAATCAAAAATGTTCATTTTCACCTGGATAATGACATCAATAATAATGTCTCCTCAAAGAAGTGAAAAATTTATTCAATTATTTATTTACCTTGATAAAATCGTTTTAAATGCTTGATATGCAGTGATAATTTACGAATTTCATTTCGAAGTTCCCTTAGTCGTTTACGTTTCTTCTTTAATATACGCTTCTCGTTATTCAACTAGATTTTTTAGAAGAATCATTATTATTAATATTAATATGATTATTTATAATACCGTGATAATGATTTTTGTCGTTATGATGTGTCGAAGCAAAACAAAGATGCAACATAAACAAATAAATAAACAAATCAACCTTATAATTGTGATTAAGCGTATTACTATAAATACTATACGCATTGGTATCATTGAATAATGGAGCTGAACGCTTTACGATCAAGTTGTTTGCCGCTGATTGTGGAGTTATGAGAACTAATCTCGCATTATGATTTTGAAGATGAGAATCATCTTTACGATATGGTCTACGACCACTGACTGATGTTGTGGATATAAACTTATGGGTGGATGAGTACTGAATGAATTCAGTTAGTGTTATTAGCAGTATCAGAGTTGTTATTGTTGGTGTCGTCGTATATGAACGCTCTGCAGCCTTTCCGTTCATACGCCAATTCATTTTCATTTCAACTGCTTTTTTCAAATCAATCAATTCAACTGAAAGTATGCACTTTCCATTGAAATATTCCATCTTCTATTCATCACCGAACTAGTGTTCGTCGGGGAGCAAATTGCGCGGGGGACGTCCCAGCGGGGAGTAAATTGGACGGGGGGGGGGTCCCCACGAAAAAGTCGGGGAGCAAATTGCGCGGGGGGAGACCCCGTCGGGGAATGATCGCTCCCCGTGTTCCCCGACGGGGAGGACGGGGAGCATTTCAGCTCAATTTTTTAAACAAAATTTCAATTTTTTAAAGATTTTTCTCCTTTTTTTAAGTAGTTTTCTTTCAAGTGCACCTTATACTCACATTTCAAAACAAAAAACAAGACAATATTGAAAGTGTTGCGGCTGTCTTTCACCATTTTCAGTTAAATGTTTGCGATATTTGGGAAGGTTCGCACTCCCCGTCGGGGGTCGGTGAGCGGAATTGGACGAGGGGGGTCCACGCAAAAAAGTCGGGGAGCAAATTGCGCGGGGGGAGTGCTCCCCGCGTTCCCCGACGAACACTACACCGAACCATTGAAACGTGTTAAGTGTCTTCATGGCTCTACTGCTAACGATAACTGAATGAAAGAATTCTCTCATCAAAATCCCATCGAACAATCTCACTTTCCTCACTGTTTAATGCGCTGAGCACGGAAACATCAAAATAAGTCAAAATCGCAAATTTGGTACAAATTTCACTCGACTATCGCAGAACGAACGAGCTTATCATTTTAGCTTAAGCAGCTAAAATTAGATCTGAGTTTTTGAATTATGTCGAATTTTGTTTTCTTAACGCTTACTAGCAAACTCAGAATGGACTAAAATATACTCTGCTAAATCCCTATGAGTTTACAGATTGCTGGGCTGAATGGTAATCGTTGTAATCAAAATGATATCAGCAAATATAATCAAGTGACTATTTTAACACACAGTTGATTCATAACTGTCCTTTCGACAAAGTATTCAAATTTCATAAGACTATTTGGTTGCATACCATTTTTATTTAAATATGAACCACACACAATTCTATTTTTTTAAAAACTAATTGAACTGAAAACTGATTACTATTATTATGATCATCACAATTAAGAAACAATAATAGTAGTCATAATATTTCATAACGATGATAACGATAATAACAATAATATTACATTTTTAAAAATTACCATTGTCATCATATCACTTCTAATAAATTGCATCTAATTATGGAATTGAATTCATCAGAACACACAATCCAAGATTCATAAAGATTTTTAATAATAATAATGAAATTCCAATTCCGATTCTATCCCTCTTCGTTCACTTCAGTGTTGCAAACGCTTTCGGCATCGCCTGAAATTTCGTTCTGGTGAAAACAAATTTGACTTCGTCGCATAATAACAGTAAAAACAATAAATAATCATAACAATGACAATATTAATAATAAAAACTAACGCAATCATCGAGATGATGTATATAATCAACCATTTCTTCATGGCACGTCTCCTCAGTTTTGCTACGAGAGTTTACTCGCGCGTTGCATTCATCCAATAATTCCTTGAACTTCGACACATGCTCCTCACACTTCTCTCGGTAAAATGTCAACTGATCAACACCTTCTTCTGGCTTTAATTCAGATCAATTATGAAAACAACAGAAGATTTCTTATTTCTGCTCTTTAGTGACAATAAGCATCACAGACACTAGGTATTACTTGAAACAATTTGATCAAATTCATCTTCATACATACTCTTAAATACCAATTAACAAGCTATTAATTACAATAAAACAATGAAAAGAACTAACCAAATCGGACATTTTTCAATCAGTATTCTTGTTGTTGCCGTTGTTTAGAAACAATCAAGCCTCTAATTTTTTAAAGAAATTAATTCGGTTGCATACAAATAGACTCACATAAAGTAATTAGTGGTACTGATTAACACAACGCTAAACGTGAATACCTAGTGTGAACATAAATACGTACACAGAACAAATGGACAAGCATCATTTCATTCCGTTGGGACCATTCACAAAATATTCCTTATCGTTAGTTGGCTGTTCAAGATCGACTATTATCTAATCGTTAAAATGTGCAGACAAAACACAATTCAGCGACGCAATTACTGACTTCTAAACTAGTTTCACTCGGAGCATTCACTACCTCTATTCCAAAGTGCGAAATGATCTTCCGCCCATTTCGCACTCTTTGCTTATAACTAAGCAATTTACTGACTAATTCATCCACTCATCAGTAGTCGCATACAAATAAATATGGAATACAACCGAAATTATAACGGTTCCATCTCTACAGCATTTAATCAATTCAACAACAACTAAACAAATCATAACTGATAACTGCTTTAAAATCTATTTATTTGTTTTTCTATCAATCGACAAAATGCAAATACTCGTATTAATATATATTTAAATGATGGAATGTGAATGTGAACATTTTCATTTACACTGGTATGACGACGATAGTAATAATAATAATAATAATAATAATAATAATAATATCAACAATAATAATAATAATAATGACAAAAACAATAATCACAAAGTTAACAAATGCAATAATAATAGCAATAATTAAATAGATGCTCCGAAAGGCAAATGTATGACTGAAATGGAAGATATCTGTGGATTACCTCCATTCGCTTGTTGCTGATTACTTTGATCGGTGATTGCAGATGAGCTCAATATCCGTGAACGAATACCACGAGGTACTTCCAGATGAGAATCTGTAATTCATTCAAATATCTATTCTAATCTGAACAAAAGAAACAAAGTTAAGAACGTACACTGTACAAGAGTCCTGTTGATTCGTTCACTCTGCACATAACTCGCCAAATAAAAGAGGAATGTTAGCGTTGTTAGAATAACGAAACTGAATATAATGAATGTTAAATCGTGACTTCGATCCTTCCCTGTATTATCGACACACTTCCATACATTATGCCAAACGTCCATCGTATCATTCATCTGAATAATTTCATTCAGCTGAAACTCGTTTATGAAACCATCACCGCCCAGTGGGCATTCACGTTTAGTCTCACAATCAGTAGGCTTTTCATGAATAATGACGGCAGTTCATCAGTCAAAATTATTGATCTTTATAAAGTAAAGAACTTTCATCCATCACAAACAGAGCACGTTTCATCTTCTGAGCCCATAACCATTAAACCCGAAACAAAACCATAACGATACCACGACTCTAAGAATTCTATCTTAAACAATGCGGCCACATCATTTTACTGTTACACAACAACTGAACGTTAATAGTAATGAGTGTATCTACAAACAATGAATGCAAAGAGTAAGAATGAAAACAGACCGTCGTCTCAACATCCACACAAAAGTCTGTATCTCGTTTCACATAAACATCCCAGTAAAAATGAAACAACGAATTGAATTGTTGAATGCAGTTTTCACAAATTATCGAATAATTCGCGCTTGTTAAGTCTTCATCACCACCACCACTCAAATTTTGCACACAATCACGCCAAGCATACAGTTTATTCTCAAAATCGAAAACATTCTTTGTGTATCTATAACCTGTTTCATTCTGCTCCAGTTTCCACTCTATATCCATACATGCTAAAAAATATTAACCATTATTATTAGTGTGGTTCATATGAATATTAGTTAATTGAATGAAATGAAAAATTACTTAAAAGAAGAACTATACTTCTCATTAACACAGTGTTTCTCATGGTGAGTGAACTACCTCCTGGAAGGTGATTCGGAGGTGTCAGCGAGTAGCTGAGGGAGTCGGTGAACCAATATTTCTTGAGGTTGTTTCGTTATGATGGAATGTCATTGTGATGGTGTTACTTTCATGGCAACACTCTTTTCTCTCTCTTATTTTCTGAGTATGTTTAGCTCGCCAAGGCTTGAACAAAAGTCAGTTTGAATTATTCACAAGCATTTTGTAATTGCTTCAGTACGTTGGCTGACGTCGTCTCTCAAGGACAGTAGGGATCGACTAAGTTTTTTCTGGTGCATCAGGAAAGATCATTGGCTTAGCATGATGAATCATATTTGCAAGTTGGGTTTACATACAGTACTATCGACGGACAGCAACGTTCGCAATGTGTTATTTGGTACAAAATAACCAATGGGCTCAGACTAAGTTGGAATTCCACGGATTTTTGGAAAATAACAAATCATTAATGTGTCCTGCATATCTGCTAGATATATTTGAACAGCTCAACTCAATATATAGATGCAAGGGAATAACGGAAATATAGTGATGTTTATTGATTGTTTGAAGGCTTTTATGAGTAAACTCGAGAAATGGATAAGGAAGGCAAAGATGAACAGTGTTCGAATGACTCTCAATAGCTCTGCATGATGATAGTAAATACGGATGTTACCAGAAATAGAGAAAACTGAGATTTTAGATCATCTCACAGTATTGGAGAATGAATTCAGGATACTTCCTTAACTGAGTGATGATTACTTGAATTCAGTGAGGAATTCATTCAAAACGTCGGAGGAAAAAGTCTCTAACGATATGCAACACGAATTTTTGGAACTTGAGGATGATTGGTACTCGATCGCGAGGGATGTTTTCGACGAGAAGTCTTTGTCAGAGTTCTGGCCTCTGATGATTAAATCATATCGGAAAAGACTATATGGGTTCTACTTTCAACCTATTTAGGCGAATCCGGATTTTCAGCACGGTTACTCTTGGAAACAAAACATAGAGCGATCTACACCGCGCTCTTTCAAACGCGCCTCCTCATATCTCAAAATTGGTCAGCGATGTTCCTTCTCCTTCATGCTCCCATTGGGCACGAACTTAAATTTACTTTCGTAACCAACTTTGTAATATGTTCATATGTTACCAGAAATAGAGAAAAATTAAATTAGCTAAATTAATGAATCGTAAGTTTTAGTTGTTAATGTGACCGAATGATTAATTTTTGAAAATAGGTTCGCATTTACTTTTGCTCGCACTTCCAGACTCATAAGTCTTGAATTGTTCGAGAAATCTCACTTCAATTAAATGCTAAATTCATAGATAAGAATTTTTCATTGGGGTTCAGATGATAAATTTCGTGTATCCTGTAATACTTGCATTCGATGATGTCAATCTCTTCTTTCGTTTTTTGAAAATTTCCACTTCTTCAATCGATTACGAATGTATTTCCAACTGGTGTAATACGTCTGCTGCGGTAAACGGCAACATCACTTATGAGATCAATGACTGGAATGCTTGAAAGTGTTTCGTTCGTAGTGGGGTTCCTACATAAGGGCTGATCACAGAAGTAGAATGGGGATATAAAATATCAGGCTTTGTGCACTTGTCGTATCTCAAAACCCACAGTAGTTTAGATATATATTCACCAATTCATAAATATTTACTTGTTGCTTAACTTGATGGAACGATTGCTTTTGCGTTTATCTCAAAGATAATTCCTCAAAAGTTCATTGCATCTCTTTTTTTTCATGAACCAATGAACTTGGTAATAAATTTCATTTTTTTCATCGCTGACAAATGTTTTACTTTCATTGTTAATTGCTGAGGTTGATACTCTTTCTACGACTGATAAATAAAGTTGCAGAAGTACTTGATTCATTCAAGAAAATGAATTTCCTTTACTCCATCGGAGACTTCCTGGACCGGTTTTCGAGTTGCACTTGATGTTATGCGTAGAAGTAGTAAATTCTTGCAGGAAGGAGGGAGGGGAACTGACCATCGAAGTGGGAAATAGAGTTTTCAACCGAGAGAAACACTGTATTAATATCAATATGAACAATAAGAAGTTTAAGTCGATATTTCAATCCCCTTAAAATAATTAATCGTAGTCATTTTAATACCATTTGAAATTGTATTATTAGTGTCAAAACATTCAATAACAATAATAATACTTTTTGAAAATAAAATAAATAAACGAGTAAAATAAAACGAATAGAACCTACAGCTACATCGTGACTGATCCCAAATTTTTCGTGTAATAGCATTTGATATTTCAGAAATGTACGAGACGAGATAATTCGAGAATATTACAGTAGAGCAAGGCGTGTTATCCAATGATTTGACACTAGTCTAAAATTAAACACGGACAAGCTTATTTCTAAATCATTTCCGTGTTTCGAACATGATCAATCAACTCATATTGTATACACGGCGAATCGACTCATATTGTCATACCGTTGAGATAGTGTCATTAATCAATGAGTGAAAAAAAATCCATCCGGCTATACTAGCAAACCGGATTCGTTTCATCATCTGATATCAATACCGCATATTAAACGAATAATAAATTATTAATAACCAGATGATGTAGCTGATATTCAGATTGTTTGAATGCAATATATTCATTCACACACTTCGTACAAACTTTTGGTGGTAACGAATTCTTTGATGCGCAATTGATCATTTCTGATGCTCTGCTACCAAATTCCTTGAAACTTAACAATAATCAAAAAATAACGCAGCGAAAGCAGTATTTCAAAGATGATGATGAAGTTTGAACTGATGACAACTGACCTCAATATACGGCTCGCATGGTGCATCTAATTCCCATGGTTCATCGTCTTGCAGCAAATGTTTTGCCGATGAAGTGAGTGTTGTTAATGATAGTGAGAGTAATGAAAATACGAGTACGGATCGCATAAATTCAACGCGAACAAATTGTGCCCACCCTGTGAAATGAAAATCATTAATGAGTCAACAACAGGTAATGCTGCTCATCGTCACAGACATCCGTATCAGCTGCGTATAAAATCGCTCGTTGAGAAAACCGCACTCTCAATCCACACCCTTCCTACTAATACACTCCAGATCTTGCACGACGAGCTACTCTCCAGATCCTTCTCCTGGAAGTTATCCTTTCTCTCCGGTTACTCCTATCTCTTCCCAGGTTCCCAACCTTTGTTTTTAGGTTACTATGGGAGTGATGTGTACCAAGTGATACACATTGCTGTTTGATAACGATTATAACCGTAATTCTCCATACTCAGTCCTTATCTCGACTCACACATAATACTTGATTGTTCTTCTTTTCGTAAGCTACACACTGTTTTGAACATCGTTGTTGTCCTACTGAGAGTATTATTGTCACCGTCATTACTTTGTTATCATCCACAAAACTATGCTTGTCATTCTCACCGTTCATTTCATTTCGTCATATTTGCTTTGTAATTCTCCCCATTCCTTCTTTTCTGGGAGGGTAGTGGAGGGGTGACAATTTACATGTATAGCTGTTATTCGTTATCATCATTATTACTGGCGTTCGTCGGATAGCGGTTTTTCGCACGGGGGAAGTTCCCGCGAGGAGGAAACTAGATGGTCGGGTTCCCCACAAAAAATCCGGGGAGCGAACTGCGCAGGGGAAGTGTTCCCCGCGTCCCTCGATGGAGAACCCGTTCCCCGAAGAACACTAATTATCACCGCGCGACCTTAAGCACGTAATTATAGTGATGTGCATATAACGGCAGGCGCGGTGGTTTCGCCAAAAACACGTGACGAAGTTTCCTGTGCATGTCATTCATACGCTGTACAAATAATAAACGTTTGAGGTACGTACGCTCAAGCGTGGAATAAACGATGGGATCGTGATGAAGAATGAAACTGAATGAAGATTATTTATTGACTCATTAGAGTCCATTCCGACGAATATAACTACGTTATGAGTTAACAGAAGTGGAAGAGTATTGAATAAAACCGAGTATAATCAATCGCAGGTTAGTAGTACATGAGCATAACAGTCGAAAGGAAGGAACCCAGGGACAGTGCAACTGACCGCCAGCAGTTATAGTTGACGGTAACAACTACTATGATAACAGCAGAAACAGAGCACATAAACAGATATGTATTTGAAACTATGAAAGCATATTTCAATGAGCGAGAGAGGAGCACTCTCGGCTGAGACGTTGCGTTATGTAGAGACAGCCAATTGTCAAGCATTCAGGAGGCAGATTCTTTCGGTAGCCGTGGGATCTGAAAGTTGACTGTGTGAAACGCGATACAATCCGAAGGGATCTACTTACGAATCAAAACTTACGGATAAGAACATCTGACCGATTAAGTAAGAAGTTTTAACGTCCAAAACTCACTGCTTTTTTGAGTGCTTGATCGATGTCTTGAATCAGATCATCAACATCTTCAATACCTACTGATAGTCTTATCAGATTATCACCAATGCCCAACTTCAGCCGATGTTCATAAGGCACTGATGCATGTGTCATTATTGCTGGTAGTTCAGCAAGACTTTCATAGCCACCCAATGATTCTGCTAGTGTAAAGATCTATAAAACCTTATTATTATTATTGTCGTTATTCGTATTATTATCAACTCTACATATAGTTTCTTGTACGTATAATCATAAACGAATAAATAAAGGACCTTGGATCTAGACGGATCCATAGATCTGCAAAATTTTCTTATTACTACCGTCGTTAGTATTATTATCATCAACGCTATATATAGTTTCTTGTACGGATAATTATAAACAAATTAATACAGGACCTTAAGATTCGAAAGGAATTCTCGTGATTCCTCCAATCCACCACGTATATAAAATGATACCATACCACTCATACCTTTTGCTTGTTTCTTATGTATTTTATGCTGTGGATGAGATTCCAACTCAGGGTATATTACCTTAAAATGCGTGCATAAGTCAATAAACAGCACATAAATAATGAATGTAAATAAATAAACCATAAACAAACATTTTCAACTCTTGCATTGCCTTCCAAGAATCTTGCCACCTGAATGGCATTGTGCATATGAGCTTTCATACGAAGATGCAGTGTTTTGACGCCACGATTCACCAAGAAACAATCGAATGCCGATGGTACAGCACCGACCGCTAAATACATGTTACAATCATTATCACTGCCATAATCACGATAAACACATAAATACAACCAACCCAATTGCATAAAGAAAAGGTGTTCGTCGATCTTTTTATCATTGGTTATCACTGCACCCATCACAACATCTGAATGTCCATTTATATATTTCGTCACTGAATGAAGTACCACATCAGCACCCAACGAAAGTGGTCGCTGAAACAATAAAAACGGTAATCATGACAGACAAGTAAACCTGAAGGAAATCACCTGAAAGTATGGTGACATAAAAGTGTTGTCAACAACAACAACGATTTCGTTGTTGTATTTTTTGGTTGCATTCACGACTGCATTGATATCGACAATCTTCAAGAGGGGATTGGACGGCGTTTCGAACCAAACCAATTTTGTGTTCGGTTGTAACGCCTTTTCAAATGCATCCAGATCGGTCATATCTACGAACGATGCCTCGATACCGTGCAGTGGCACCGAGACACGTCTGAAGAAACGTTGTGTTCCTTAAATTTTTATAATCATCATCACTTTCGTTACGTTTATTCTTATTATCGTTGCTAATTATTCATTCATGTTTACAAGATCAAATTCAATTAAACAAACATACCTCCATAAACATCATCTGAACATAAAACATGATCACCACACTTCATTAGATTCGCTAATGCCATTGACGCAGCTAATCCAGATGCATAAACTCTGCCTTTGAATTACAGTTGTTATTAGCATCATAATTAGGGCAGTAATTCATTATGTATTCACTTACAATACTCTCCCTCTTCCAGTGCAGCAATATTTTTCTGAAGAACGTCACGCGTCGGGTTACCGGCACGCGAATAATCGTGTACTTTCGGCTCTCCGGGACGATCTTGTTTGTAGGTGGTTGAAAGGGAGATTGGTGGAACTACCTGAAAACAATGAGTATTATCATCACCAAAAATATACAAATGAACTGAACAGAAGTGTTTAATAAATAGTTAAGAATAAAATCACCTGATTCATATCCCACTGTTCCGGTTCTTGACCGACGTGCACAGCTGCCGTTCCAAAATGTTCGAAATGATCACTGCTATCATTATTACCGTTATTCATCATTTTTAAATTCTTCGATGAAGTTGAGTATGTTTTCTTTATTTGATCAATATATTTTTTAACGCAACGTTTCGGTACCCACTAAAACAACACAATATTCACTATTTATCATACGTTGATAATGAAAGTAAATGAAATTCTTGATGATACGAGCAAACAGATCGAATATTTTGAAATTTGTTATCATTAATACAAACGCATATAACACTTCGTATAACATTTACGAAATTGATGATTAAACCGGTTTTTTGTTTCAATAAATTTATCGATTCACTGAATCACTCAATCAATTACTATTTTAATAGATCATATATGCATATATACGATATATATATATA